GCTGTATGCAGCTCCACTGTTTCAGCAGCCTTTTCACTTGGCTAGACAGGGCTGCTCTTTCTCTGGGGCTTGGTCTCTTTCCCTGATCCCAAAATGTCCGGAAGGCTTTAAGGGTGGGATCACTGCTCTGAAAACCACAGCTCCTCTATGGTATAGCCTGGCAGAGTCGGGGTGTTACCTTGCCTTGTACTTACATCACCCGACCCGGACTCCACAGCACAGATTTGTTTCACCTTGTAACACTCAAGACCCTTACTGACAAGACTAGGATCCAGAACTGTCCCTCGCCCAATCAGGCTACAAACTGAAATGCAATCGTCAAAATCTGAATCAGGATCTGTTTCAGGCTCCCCTGCAAACTCCTGCCTAGAGAGGGCATCAGCTGCGGCATTGCTAGAACCAGGACGGTACTTAACCTCAAAATCAAAAACAGACAGTTGTGCTACCCACCTCTGCTCTATAGCACCTAACTTAGCTGTCTGGAGGTGGCAGAGAGGGTTGTTGTCGGTCAGGACAACAAACTTTGAGCCAAGCAAGTAACCCCTGAATTTTTCAGCAACTGCCCACTTTAAGGCGAGCAACTCTAACTTCATACTACTGTAATTGCGGTCATTTTTCTCAGCCTGCCGTAGTCTGTGGCTAGCGTAGGCTATGACTCGTTTGGTGTCGCCCTGCTGCTGACACAATACAGCGCCTAATCCATGCTGACTGGCATCTGTCTCAAGTATGAAGGGTTGTGTGAAATCGGCAAAACCCAAAATGGGTGCAGTGGTAAGTTTTTCTTTTAACTGTTCAAAAGACGAGACACACTCTGGCGTCCACATAGCACAAAACTGGTCACCTATTTTTCCTGTTTTTTTTCACACCTGAACATCTGTTGACTAAATCATGCAAAGGCCCAGCAATCTGTGAGAAACCTCGAATGAATCTCCTGTAGTAGCTACAGAAACCCAAAAATGACTGCAGCTCCTTCACAGTGGCTGGGACCTTCCAGTTTTTAACAGCAGAGACCATGGAGGGGTCAGTACCTACACCCTCCGCTGACACCTGATGCCCCAAAAACTTCACTGACTGCTGTAGAAAAGCACACTTCTGCAACTTAATCTTAAGGCCTGTCTCTGCCAGTCTCTTAAGTACAGTTTCAAGTCTCTCCAGATGTTGCTCAAATGTTTCAGAAAAAAACAAGATATCATCTAGGTAAACTAGAAGTATCTGGAAAATCAGATCGCTCATAGTGACTTGCATAAGTCTCTGGGATGTAGCGGGTCCGTTACACACACAAAAGGCATCCTCACATACTCGCTTCAGCTTGTTTACGGTTGTAAAAGGACTGCAACAGCTGTGTTGTGCTGCGTTTTTCACCAAATGCATTTCTTAGGTAAGAGTACAAATCACTTGGTGCCACTGACCGATCCCCCATGCACAGTCTCACCTCTTCTAATGCAGGACCACGTAACAGAGATAGTATGTAGTCACAGTGTTCTTCTGTTGTTTGTTCTCGGGACCTTAACACCCTTTCAACCTCATCAATAAACTCTTCAACAGATCTCCCATCTTTACCACATTCCCCACTAAATGCTTGGATCTGACGTTCTCTTGGAACATAGATGTATGAACGTGTAGGTGCAGTCTGAGCCCTTGCTTCATTATTTAACCTGGTCAGTTCATCTCGTAGTCTGGACAGTTCTTGCATTTGACTCTGTATTTCTCCCATAGTGTCTCTACTTGTGCCAGCTGCCCCATTTGAGGCCTGATGTGCCTGACCATTGTCATTACTTGAAGTACCTTAATCACCGGATTCACTAGACATGATGAACTGTTTTAATGCTTTTATCAGTCCACCATGAATGTAAAATGTCCAAAGTGTAGGTCAAGGATATGGTGAAGACAGTCTCTATCTTGGAGCCTTGTTGGACCTTGCTCTTTGCAGCTGAAGCTCTTGAAGGGATCCTCTGTGCAGGTACGGATGAGTCTTTCTTTACCCGGGGAGCGCCAGCATCTCTCAGGACACCTCAGGTCATCTCTCGCCAGTCACCACCGCCCAGCAGGTTGGCCTCTCAGACACCAAACACCAGTGGACATCACCTGCAGTCTTCACCACTGCCGTATTTCTCAAATAAAACAAAAATAAGCCACTCTGTTGCCAATTTTTTAAAAAGTATGTTTTAGCTCAATCCCACTCCTGGTACCAAAAATGTGTGGCCCGTGGAATTAGATGCCACACAGGACACATTTACTTCAAGGGTTCTTTGAGCGCCACATTTATTTCTGACCACATTTGCAACAGGTCATTCTTTAACAGAGTGTCTCAACTTCTCAGTCCAGGGGAGCAAACAGCTCGTTTGTGGCTGACTTATAATGAAAATGAATAGAAAGAAAGAAATAATAAAAAAAAAAAAACCCAAAATAAAATACGGCAGTGGACTGGCTAATTACAGAAAATATGAAATAACATCTGTTAAATACATATTTTACACCATAAACCGCAACTGTAAATGCACAAAATGACACTTACATTCCAACAAGCTTCACCAAACACACGTGGGACTTCCCGGAGATTGCACTACTCCACACACGGTCAACTACCTTAAAACAGAGTTAAAACAATAATGTAAACCCTGTACATTTCTCTAGTAACAAAGTGAAATCACATAGTGCGGCTTTGTGCGCGCCGAAATTACCATGTACTCAAGAACACCGTGGTCGACGACCAGCCTTCAAAATGCCAGGACACAAACTCCAGCAGTGCCTAAATCAAACTATCTTGTTAAAATATCAACATATATTATCTTTTCACATGTTTGTACATGGATATTTTACAAGATATATGTCTATTTACCTACTATTTTACACGATGGGACCGTCCACTCTGCACATTTCCGGGTTGTCCGCACGTAAAACAAGAAAAACAACTCTGCCGCACATGCGGGCTAACAATAATATTACCACCTACTGCCGCCTTGTGGCCCAAGTTGGCAATAACAAGTGAGCCTGTGCCAGTGCACTTACAATCTGTTGTTACTCACTTTTAAAGGACATTACACCAAAAGGAAAACAACAAAGAACACATGTACTAACACTAAATTAACTAGGGGAATTATATCAACCCTAAAAGGAGAATAATACTGGATTTTACCACCCGGTTACATATGTAAAAAAAAAGAAGCTTTTAGAATGTAAAACTGAAGATCATCTTGTCAGGAGGAGGAGGAAGAGGATGACCCCAGCTCCGCAGCCAGCGCGCAGCCAGACCAGACGGACCCGGGTGCAGCCACGGGACCAGCCCTTCCTGCACCTTCAGGCGGGGGGGTTCAGCATGCTGGAGAGGGAGCTGGGCTCTCTAACCTCCTGGGTTAAAATAAAATAAATTGAATAATTTACAATTTGCTGACAGCGTTTCTCCCGTGCGTGCGCGCTCTCTCTTTCTCTCTCGCAGTCTCACTCTGTTTCTTTTCTTTTGGCTTTTCTAAGATGACAGATGCTGAATATATACTCCCTATCTGATGCTGTGGCTGTTTGTGGCTGGCTGAGGGGGATGTGAACTTATTAGATTGAGTTAATTGTGTTAATCAAATCAGGTTGGGTTTCCAGTTGGTAGGTCCGCCATCTGACTAGCTCCCTGCCGTGCGCTCCAATTGCGCCTCTCTTAAAGGGAATGAGAGGTGACATTCTGATTGGCTTATTGAATGATACGCCCAAAACACACCCATGACTAATTCACAGAGTAAGTCCAACCCTTTTCGACTCTCCGCCATGGCGCACAGTCTGAAAACCTGCTGTCTAACTAGCAAGTGACTGGGACACGCCCATGCGCCGCACGCCCTCCGCCGTCCGCTTTAGACCATCTAAATAGGGCCCACAGTGTCCTGAATGTAACAATTGTTGTGTTTTTGTAACCTTAGAATGAGCCCTTTATATCTACATAGTCCACGATTTTGCACCACCATGTTTCTATTGTAGTCCAGAATGGACAAACCAAACACTGGCTCGAGATTGGAGCAATCACATTTTCATAAATGGTCAATGCAAAGCACCTCATAAATGTTGATGAACCTCCTGATCAATGGTTCTTACTTTACTGGCAATAGCCAAAAGTCACATCAGCATTAATATGTTTACAGCAACCATACTGATACTTCACAGACTTTTATAGAGGGGCCAGCCCTGTCCTTGAAACTCAGAGGAAAAACATGGTGGTACTTTGGCTTCTGTGATCTATCATGACAGAGGTGACATCCTAAAATAAGGCACAATAAATGCAGCTTCACCTGTTCTGAAGTTTACACAAGAAAATAAAAGATGGCCATTATGATTTAAAGGATTTAGACCTTTAGATTCTATTCCCCACTCTCAAATTAGATTTATAATTGTAAATAAAAAAATTTCCACACAACACTGCACACACAATAATATAAACATTTAAAACTAATGTTATTGTGTCCTTTTAGAAATGATAATCATAGTGTGAACATAATCATTGTCTTTGCTGTATTTCTTTGTTCTTGTTTATCTCAACTGTACTTTCAGAATTTTCCCATTTATGTGTGAATTTTTGGTAAATACACAATTTATCTGTCACTCTGCTCAGCATAATTCTTTACATTTCACAGACAGAAACTCAAGGTGAGCTCCAGCTTTGCCAATAAAAAATGATTTAAGACCTCAAATTAATTAATAGAAAATACAAAACATAATGATGTAATTATGGTATTCAGTGTCTGTTGAGCTAATTTAAGATGTATATGCCCTGCCTCTACATGAGCCCTGATGGGTGGTGTTAAATTATGACAAAAAGCACCAAAGGAGATGACATAGGCTATAAAATTAAGCAACTATGTTTGAAGCTCAGTAACAGGGGTGTAGAGATGAGGGCAGTTATGGGGGCAGTTCTCAACACATTTTTGTTATTATATGTCGACCTGATCTTGATTTTGTCCTCTTCTTCCATTTTCTTGACAGAGGCTTCCTCTCTTTTCTCATCTTGTAAATTAAGGAGACAGTTTTATTTTAATGGGATGCACAAGCCAGGTGATGTGATGCTGGGTGGGCTGTTTCAGGTCCACTATACCTCAGTCTTACCTGAGCCATCGTTCACCTCAGAACCACATCAGCTCATCTGCCAAGGGTAAGTTTCACACACACACACAGCAGACAGATAGTGGATAGATAATGTTTTACTGTTTAGTATTTGATTGTGACATTTTACTTCACACACAAAGCACACAAAGTGCATAATGGATAAATGATAATGTACTTCTTGCATAATAATTTGTGGTTGATAGTAACATTTTTTTGTGCTAGCTTTGACCCTCCAGGGTTCAGGCATGCCATGACCATGGCCTTTGCTATTGATGAGATCAACAAAAACTCCAACCTGCTACCTAATGTGACTCTGGGATACAGTCTTTATGACAACTGTGCAACACTTGTAATTGGATTCAGTGCTGCATTATCATTGGCCAGTGGTCGAGAAGAGCAGTTTCTACTCGAGGAGACTTGTTTGGGAACCCCTCCAGTCCTGGGGATTGTGGGTGATTCCTTCTCAACATTTTCTATTGCCACCTCTGACGTGATAGGTTTATTCAAACTGCCCATTGTAAGTTAACCCCCTCCAGTCTCAGCAGTGTTTTTGATGTGCCATATTTGAATGAATTTCACATGTTACAATGATAGAACATTATACATTAAATCTCAGCTACAGCTTCTCCAACAAGCCTTTATTTGATTTGAGGTGATACTTTTGTTTAAGATTTCATAATGATGAAATGTTAAATTGGTGAAACATTTTAAATGTTTCTGCTGACTTGCAAGTAAAACCTGTGTGCATACTGTGTTATAGGTGAGTTATTTTGCCACATGTTCCTGCTTGAGTGATCGGCAAAGGTTTCCATCTTTCTTTAGAACAATCCCCAGTGATGCTTTTCAGGTGAAACTCTCTTCTAACAAAAAAAAATGCAAAATATGTTTTGCAGAGATTTTGAGTGAAAGTGAGTGAAAATGGAATAGTTTTTCTTGTCTGGAAAAGTGCTGTATTTACTTTGTGTATAATCGCTGATTTAGAAAAAGGAGTGTAGTGGAATCAGTAATTGTAATTTTATTGTGTGACACAAATGGCTAGGTTTTCAATGAAAGGCCATTCTAAATTGTGCACTAATCCCCCTGCTCTCTATAAAATCAGGTGCGTGCCATGATTCAGATTCTGAAACACTTTGGCTGGACTTGGGCAGGTCTGCTGGTCAGTGATGATGATTATGGACTCAATGTTGCACGATCCTTTCAATCAGACCTGGCTCAGTCTGGTGGAGGTTGTCTAGCCTACTCAGAGATTTTACCCTGGGGTGACAACTCAGCTGAAATAAAGAGGATTGTTACAGTGATGAAGACATCCACAGCTCGTGTGGTCATTGTGTTTGCACATCAAATCCACATGATTCAACTTATGGAAGAGGTATCCATCCATCCATCTATCTATGTTGTAATGATTCAGCCCTACAAAGTAGACTCTATATGTTTCACATTGGTCTGAACATTTTTCATTTTTTTTTATTATTATCTTACTATATAATGATGAAAACTCTGTCTGTCTGTGGGTGTGTGTGTGGGTGCGTCTGGTTCATGTTTTTCTCTTCACTGACTTGGTCAATCCATGTGAAATTTGGCACAGTGGTAGAGGGTCATGAGAGGATGCGAATGAAGCAATATTACATCAATTAACCAAAGGAGGGCGCTATAGCAACCGATTGAAATTGCAAACTTTGAATGGGCATATCTCATGCCCCGTATGTCGTAGAGACATGAAACTTTGCACAGAGATGCCTCTCCTCATGAGGAACAAATTCATAACTTCCAGTTATATAGATTTTCCACCATTTTGAATTTTTTGAAAAAAGCTTAAAATCGATCTCTTCCTAGGAAGTTTGACCGATCTGCATGAAACTCGGTGAACATAATCTAGGGACCAATATCTAAAGTTCCCTCTTGGCAAAAGTTGGAAAACTTACTAAAACTGAGCTTCTATAAGGCAATGAATATTGCGGAGGGCGTGGCTCATCACATAAAGGTGTATAACATCTCAAGGGTTTCACCGATCACTACGCAACTTTGTAGGCATATGACCACACATAATCTGAGGG